TGTACTGTGTTGACTTGTGACCATCAGTCACCTTAACTTACTTTCTATATCTTACAGTAACGCTTACTGTACACACACACATTTTTCTGCAGAGATGTGCTGGTGTAAAACACGAGTCAAGTGATGCTCAGAGACATTAGTACGATGTTCTCGCAGTCACTCAAAGTGAGCACAAAACAAGTGCTCCCTATTTAGCTGACACAATAACAGCACAATGTACTTTGTGCGAGGGGATAACACAATCAGTGAGTGTGTGGGTGGGTTTTTTACGTGTGTATAGTGTCGTGAACATATGAAAGCAGCAGTCATACAAATTTTTTCATGTTTGCCTCACTTTAGTAAGCAGCACAGCCTTTTTCCACAATAATAAAACAAATATTTCTGTAGATAATGTGCTTCTAGGCCTACACAGGTCAAACAGATGACAAATATAGCTGTGTACTCTCACTTCTTCTCCTAAATAACAACTGTATTCTCTTTTCTTATTCTATACCACCAAACACAGATATATGCCCTCCTCTTCTATCCCAGGTCTGTTCTCAGGCTCCTTATGACAAATCACCACATTAAATGTGGCCATTTTTCGGCGCACCACACTTCCCCCTGCTTATTGGTTTCAGATAAAACTGCAATATTTCCATTCATCTATTTCCGTTTGTCGATGCTGTGTAGCATTCGTCTGTGCACTTGCCTCACACATGCACACACAGGAATGTACACAATTATACACACAGCTCCTCTTTCTCCTTGGTCGTTAATAATGTACTGATGGCAATACTGAGGTTACTGACCCATAGCCAACCCATTAATCAACCAATACAACTAGCATATGATCATAATAAATATGCCTTAGATGAATGTCTTGCAGTCAGGAGAATAGACCCAATGCTTCCCAGAAGCTGAGACCAGAAGGACAAATGTGATGGAAAACAGATAAGATGGAGCTGAGGTATTTACACAAGCAATATATTCTTCCTCTGAAAATTTGTTTTGATAAGCAGAGCACACGTACACTCAGACAAGCATGTCATCCTCACAAAATCACACCCCACCGAGAGCCACTATCTATTGTATGTGCCATTCAAACATATGTGTTTCATAATTAGCTGTATAGATAGTGTCCTCTCATTAGGTAAAGATTGATTAGCCTGTTTGTGATATATAAAAGGTTGGGTCACAATCACCAGAGCCTGAGCTGCTAGTTAGTGCTGTCAGTAATAATCAGGCCTTGGTTGCTGGAGTATTACAATGGTGTTGTTCTGACCTCTAGTGGCAGTGGGATAAAACTACAGTAGAACACAGAAGAACTGGATGTCTCCTCTGATTCAAAATAAATTCTCATGTCTAAAAGCGTAAGCAGCAAGGTTATTATAGTGCACTAAAACTAAACTAAAAACTAAACCTAGGTGTAAAAAAAAATTTTAGTTTTTATCTCAAAGGAAAATAAAAACTAGACTTGGAAAAGAAACGAAAGCTGAGATTTTAAAAATATATAGGAAATATCTTAGTTTGTCAGTTTAGTCACATTTGTCAATACAACAAGCATTAGGAGTGTTTATTGAGACTGGGATGTCTACACGCTGTGAGTCGATGTGTTTGTCTTGTAATACAAATACCCCCAATATTATAATAAAACACTGACAATACTAAAACTAATAAAAAACTAAACTGAAACTAAACATTTTAAACAATAAAAACTAAACTGAAACAATCACATCCAAAACTAACTGGGTCTTAACGGAATTGAAAACAAAATATAAATAAAAACTGATAAAAAACTCAAAACTATAATAACTCTTATCAGCAGTAAATTGGAGAACAGTCCACAGTCTTTGTTGTTGCTTTGGTGTCTTAACAGCAGGACGAATGTGATGAGTACTGTTGTATATGAACCTGCTGGTTAATGCTACAATTAGTCCGATATTTTCTGTTAATATCATGTATGTTTTGGAGGTCATGTTTTTTTAATTAGAAAAACTTGCTATTGCAATTTGATTAGACTCAGAGAGACAGTTATATAGAGATGCACAGCAAACTTGAGATGCAGTGAAGAACACAAGAACATTATGTTGAAAGATGTGGTAAAAAACAGGAAGGTTGTGTGCAATCACCCAGTAGTGACTTCACAATATACCCTCCTCATATGTGACACTTCACCCCACATCCACACATTAAACAAAAGGTATAGCACCATGTAAACATAAACATGTTGCACGTATTGATATTAATTCACATGAGCACACTGTGATATATTGGCAAAATTACACATTACATTACAATAGAATGAGGAGATACTGGCATTGACATGATGCCATGAGGCATGTTGTTAACATAATGAAGTATTGGCACTGAATGTTGCCTTTATGATATAATGACATACTGATTCATTGATAGAGTAAAGAGGCGTATTGACTGACTGATGAAATGGCTTGTTGACTAAACAATGAGTGTAGTGTCTGTTAGGGGAATAGTCCTTCAAGGAAATTGTTTTAAGAAGACCTGAAAGAAGGTCTGTAGTCTTTGTATTCATTATTTAGTGGCGACTGTGCAATGCTCCTCCAACACTGAGGTGATATGACGGGAAAGTTTAAGATGCTTGTCAACAGTTTTTCATTAGTGTCATGCTCAGACCTTTGGTAAAGTTTTTGGAGTAGAGTGGTAACTTGTACTTGTTAAACAGCTTCTTGGATCCTCAGTTCTTCAGTGACACTGATACGCAGCATTTTTTCAACCTTCATATAACCTCTGCCCCCTCCAGTAAGCCTTGGTTCTTCCTAAAGAAAGAGTCTGCATGCCTGACCTAAATTTCTCTGCCTATTCAGCACACAGGGTTGAATATCACAACCTGACGCTGACCAGGCAGACACACTCAGACACAGACTGTGCACCTCGCTGTTGTTGGGACATTGTAGCTCGTTTTCCACGTGGACCCCTGGCAGTCGTAGATAAAATGTTGACCTTCTTCTGCAGGAATGTGTTTTATTACAATCCAAGACAAATGGTGTTAAGGGTCAGTGGTCTCCACATCCGCCCTCACACTCCTGCTGCACTCATGCCTATTGTGGAGATGACTGAAGAAGAAGATGCTAGGACCGTGATACATGCGTGACACACTTACAGATGATCTATTTTTATTAGCTGTCATATGTAATGCAAGGTACATTCCTATTTCTGTGCTAATGCTATTTATATATGACCAAGGATTATTGGTGACACCTCCTGTAGGAACCTGTCAGTAATTATCTGTCATTTAATTTGATTTGTCTCCTTCCTTTATCGTTTTTTATTGTTTATTCTTCAACTTAATTAATTCTTTATTGCGTATTGTTGATCATAATAACACTTTTGTCAATAAACAATAGGAGTAGCTCAGTTAAGTGGAAACAGTGTGGAGCAACTTCTTGCATCCTAAATCACATTTTGACTGGATGTCCCAAAGCACTGGGACGAGGCCGATACAGGTGGAGGCACGACAAGGTCCTTACAGAAATTGCCAAATGGATGAATCTGAAGAGGGTCAAAGCCAACAAACACCACCCAAAGATGTCCATTTCCAAAGGGAAGAAGATAAAGAAAATCCTAGGGCAAGAAAAAATGCGAAGAACCCATCTTACATTTTGCATCAACCTTCTGAACAGGAGATGCAAGTGAACCTTAGGAAGAATCAGTCTATTTAATGTTACTTATGTTACCTTGTCACATATGTTTAATCAGAAACTGCACAAGGTCTATGTGACTTTAAACTGTACATTTTATTTTTAAACCTTTATATTCGTAATATATCGTATGTCTTTATATATTGTATGTCTATTACATCTGGAGTAAATGTGACAAAAGTAATTTCCCCCCGGGATTAATAAAGTATTTCTGATTCTGATTCTGATTCTGATTAATTCACTGAAGTACAGTATAAGTTAGAGCTCTTGTTTTTCCCACTCTGTGTGTTTGCCAGTTCTCTAGAATTCCACTAAAAGTTTGGAGAAACACATAAAGGTTAGTAAAGCCTTTAGCCGACAGTGGGAAATTTATATTATAAATTATCCAGATAATTAAAGTACAGGGGATAACTTATTGGTCCATAATAATAATCATTTATTTTGAATCCTTATGTCAAAGCAATTGACAGGCTTTATGCTCTATGAAAGCCAATGTATGTTTGTAAAGTGTTTTAAAGTACTTCACTAGAAAAAAATTAATGAACATTTGAACATTGAACTGTATGATCCATCTTTGCTCACTACATCTTAGCCTTCACCATCAGGTGTGTAAAAACTACAGGTTATGAACTTACTTTTAAAATACGGAAAATGTAAATTTATCTTATCGGTATCAGACATGAGAAGTAGGTAATTATTAGTTATCTTATCAGCTAATAAAATAAATCCCTATTGTGCATCCCTAATAAAGATGAGTCTACAAACATACTCTGTAGGCATACAGTATACTGTAAGTTGTATGAGTATGTCACTGCAAGTGATCTGGACTTTGTGCTCCTATAGGTCAATGTGACATCTGATTCCTGTGAGAAGACAGAAACTTTCTTTACCCACTCTCAACATCTGGAGCTCACATCCTCTTAGGCAGGAAAGTACAGGAAATGAATTTACAAATAGTTTCAGTTTTATACATAATAGTGTTAATACATATTTATTCATGTATTTGTTTAAGCGGTGGGACAACTTCACTGTGTTTATTTTCATGAGTTTCACTTTCGACCTTTTAATTACAGGTTACTGCTTTCAAATAATCCTTAGTAATGCGATCTGTCAAACCAGAGAAAGCTCTAAAATTGTGGGACAGATTTGGACTTTTTGCCTCACATTGTAATTAAATTGTTTTTGTTGTGGAGAATTGTAATTAAAGTGAGCAACAATGTCGCCTATTTTATGCTCTCCTAGCTCCTCTCTGCTGTCTGGCACGGTTGCTAAGCAACAGGCGGTGGGCGGGGAGAGTGGGGACCGGCCAGTGGAGGCAGCGGTGGGCGGAGCTTCGTGTAAAACCGGCGGCAGGAGGGGCACGCGGGGCTGGACTCTTCTGAAACGCCGGCAGGGATTGAAACGCAGCTGCTCGCTCAAAGTATTAGCTGCAGACTGTAATATCGGTCCCCCCCTCGCTTCTGCTGGGAGGTTTTCCACTGTGAGTCGCTACACGGCTGGAGAAAATGTCTAACGTCAACTGGAAGCCCTTTGTCTTCGGCGGGCTGGCGTCTGTGACAGCGGAATGCGGTGAGTGATGAGAGGAGCGGCGGGGAGGCCGAGCTCCGTGGATTACTGCTAAACCTCCGCTTACAGTCTTATAAAGGTAGTGTCTCATGGTTTGTGTTGTAGGAACCTTCCCAATCGACCTGGCCAAGACGCGTCTTCAAGTTCAAGGCCAAGTGGGCGACATCAAATACAGAGAGATCCGCTACAGAGGCATGCTCCATGCTATAGTGAGGATATGCAGAGAGGAGGGGCTCCGGGCACTATATTCAGGGTCAGTGCGTGTGCGTGTGTGTGTGTGTGTGTGTGTGTGTGTGTGTGTGTGTGTGTGTGTGTGTGTGTGTGTGTGTGTGTGTGCGTTTGTGTGACATAAGTATTTGCTTGTAACCAGACTTCTCTGCACAACTTCTATATGTTCACGTATCACTTCCTCTTTTTGGTACACTTCCTGTTTTTTGTAACAGCTTTACCTACCGTGTTGCACCCCCATCTATCCAGAGAAGGGGGTCTGTCTTTGATGGGCATGTCTCACAGTTTTATTGGGTCCACTGAGATACTGTGTTAATAGGTGATGAAAATAAACCTGACTTTTACAGGATAGCTCCTGCCATGCTGCGCCAGGCCTCCTATGGGACCATAAAAATTGGCACATACCAGAGCTTGAAGCGACTGCTGGTTGACAGACCAGAGGGTGAGTCCCAGTTTCTTTTTCTCTCTCTCACACGCACTTAACGCACACATTTCGGCAGGCAGTGACCCGCCCCCATCGACATGGGCACATTCCTCTTGAAGGGGAAGTGCAGATGTTCGTGTGACCTAAATATGTCTCCTCATTTTATCAAGCTAAGAGTTCATTGTAACTGTCTGTGCTTCTGTAAAGCATTGTAATGATATACTGTAACAGACGGCCTGACGCATGGTATCAAATGCTGCTTGTTCACAGTTACAGTCTGCTTCCCACTCTCCTCTTTCAGATGAGACCTTGCTGACTAATGTGATGTGTGGTGTTCTCTCTGGAGTCATCTCCTCCTCCATCGCCAATCCCACTGATGTACTGAAGGTAGCTGTTTGCACACATGAAGATTGTGTTGATTCTCCTTGTTGTTGTCCTAATGAAGTCACGGCTGGTTATTCTCTAAAGCAGCAGATCAGGTTTGACAGTTTCTTTGGAAGTGCCCCAAGGCGTGCAGAAATCCTCCACTGAAAAACAGAGCAGTTTTCTTTCACTTTTTACACGTGCAGCTGGAATTCCTCATGCAGACTTGAGTAGGATTGTTTTTACTGTAGGTAGTTGTTTTGAAAAAATTGAGGGATTAATGTGGCCTTTCTAGATCAGATCTCTAACTGCAGCTCCTTGGTTGTAGTTCTGGTCTTTTGATCACATGCCGAGTGGAGTGAAGGTGCTATTAAGACCCCACTGGATTATTTATAGACAGAAGCCTCTAAGGCTTAACATAGTGTTCTGTAACCGATATGGGTGTCTGAATATGATGTGTGTGTCCACGTGCTTATCTGCACTCGTAAGGTTTTGCCTGGCTCCTTCTCGCTTGCCCTGTTTGGCATAATGACCTCCTGTCCACAGTGTGTGTTTGTTAAGAGTTTAACAGACCAGTGGATGTGGCTGCAGGTTTGGAACATTGCGTTTTCATCACGGTGTGTTCTGGCTGTGCTCGCCAAGTCATCATGAAGCCAGACACCCAACTAAAGCTGATCTGTAAACAGCAGCCATTATAAATGAAAACAAGTCAAGCAAGGGTTGGAGAATTCCTGGAAATGTGGATTGACAAAATGCTTGAGGACATTGTGCTGGCCAAAGTTCCCTACTAACTTTTTTTGACTTTGCATTCCGATGGGAGGCTGATGAATACACCCCCGGACTTGGCTTGGTGGACCTAGAGCATTCCACGCTTGTTGTGCCTGCTTTCATTGTCTCAAGTTCAAGTTTATGAACATTACCTCTGTCTGCCCTTCCAGATCCGCATGCAGGCTCAGGGAAGTGTGATCCAGGGCAGTATGATGGGCAACTTCATCAACATCTACCAAGAGGAGGGAACAAGAGGACTGTGGAAGGTACAGAAAGCTTTAAAAATGCCTTTGTATTGATAAATGACCTCAGTATGCGAAGGTTTCGGGTAGCACAGACACTGCTCTGTAATAGTCAGTGTTGTAACATTCTGTCTCTTTCTGTATCAGGGCGTCTCTCTGACAGCTCAGCGGGCAGCCATCGTGGTCGGGGTTGAGCTACCGGTGTATGATATGACCAAGAAGCATCTGATCCTATCAGGGTACATGGGGGACACCGTGTACACGCACTTCTTGTAAGTTTGCCAAGTCACCTGGAGAATCTCCTGCTGTCTCCTGCTTGTCTGGGCAAGACAGATTTAAATGTCTTAAGGTGGAACTAAGAAATTATACATGGCACATTTGTGGCAGCAGCACGCACACACACACACACACACACACACCACGGCAATGACCGTTTAGTATCAGAGATTAAATCAAGATCTACAGATTATCATTTCAACGAGTGTCTTGTCTCCCAGGTCCAGCTTTGTGTGTGGCCTGGCGGGGGCTTTGGCCTCCAACCCTGTGGACGTAGTCCGGACACGCATGATGAACCAGAGAGGAGGAGCTCTCTACCAGGGAACACTGGACTGTATCCTGCAGGTCAGTCACAGTTCTGGGATGGAGACAGTTAGTGACACTTCCTGATTAAGTTTGTAGTGGACTAAATTCCACCGGTTTTGCAAATAAAGATCAGTTTACCCGTCACGGCTGCTACTATTCAGCCCATGAAAATAGTTATCTTCTGTGAGGGAGCTTTTAAAGTCTGAGACAATAACTCATGAGAACTAATGAGATGTGTGGAAGGCAGGGTGGGACTAACAAAAATATATTATTGTATTCTGGGAAATGTAGGATCCAGTGTTTTGAAGCTTGACCCACACTATGGACTAAGAGTCAGGATATCTCACCGTCTGCTGCTTCAAATTCAACTGTGTCTTTTTTTGTGTGGTCTCTCGTAACTCCCAAAACTTCATGGAAGAGTAGTAATATTTGCTGGAGTACCTTTATGTACATACTGTGTGTGTGTGTGTGTGTGTGATTTTTGCCTCCTGCGATGATGAATATTTAATATAATGTTGTAATGTTGAATATTTAGATCAAACCTTAATGTCAGTGATTTCCCAATCCCAGTTAGAATCGCCTAGAGAGGACTTTAGAACAATCATCAGAGGATAATAAGATAAAATGGGTTTTTAACATGTTTGTTTTCATTTCAGACGTGGCGCTCTGAGGGCTTCATGGCCCTCTACAAAGGTTTCTTTCCCAACTGGCTCCGCCTGGGACCATGGAACATCATTGTATCCTTTAACCATCTCATTAGTGCACTAGTCTGTTTACATATATCCTCTGTGATGCAATATCTTGTGAGCTGGAGAAATCAGCGGTGAAAAGTTATAAATTCTGTTATGCATTCAGTGACGCATTGAAATCCAAGCCATGCTCCAGTGGAGGACCGCTTAGTTTAATGCTAGCTAAGTCTCTTATGTAACTTTGTGCAACTACTGCCTTAGTACCCCGCTGCCCCTGGTTAGAGAGGATGTATGGGGGGGCCTCAATGGGGGGGTAAGGGCAAGAGTGGAAGGGTGGGGAATGAACTTTATGAAAACCTTTCTGCAAACAGTTACAGGGAGAACAGAAGTGCTGGCAGGTCGTCATCAACTCCAACCAGGCCTGAAAAATGTAATGAGATTATTGACTTGTTACAACAGAGTAGACTGAGGTAAAAAGGGAGGCTTTGAGCTGAAGTACAGAAAGAGCCAAAACTCCTCAGTCAGCCTCCCATTCTGCTCTACAAAAACATCCACTCCTCTTGTCTGTGTTCCTTTACTCTGTTATCCAGTTCTTCCTCACATATGAACAGCTGAAGAAGATCAATGTGTGACTGACTGAATGAGACGGTAAAGAAGAGACGAGTATGAGCGCACGCTCCGACGAGCTGAGAGGACCAAAATCAGGAATGGCTAGATGGGGATGGATCCTTGATGGGAACCACTGTACTGGCGAAGAGTGTTGATGTAGACCCGTGTAAGAGGCGCGGCATGAGAATTTGCCTGATTCCTGTTTGGGCTACATGTCACCTAAAGTCTGTGGCAAGTGTGGAAGACACTCATACCTGATGTTTTACCTCATCCAAATGCTTTGTTAAACTTCACCGCTCATTTACATTTGATAATGTCCCCTGAGATTCATGTCCCCTAATTTATTTAATGGGAAATGGGAAAGAAACTTAAAAACAGCCTCAGACTCGTGTTTATGAAGCTGCTTTAAAAATGCGTTTAATGTCACGAGGAAAAGACACAAGGCTTTTCAGTCTTCTACACTTAAAAGTGGTCTCCAAATCGAGTGCCTTACTTTGTGATACTGGCTGTCTGCTCCTGAGATGCAGGACTGAGAATGTCGGATAGCAGCTGACGATCGCAGTGATCATTCCCTTTTGAAAAAGTTTGTGTGCCTGAGTCAACAAACTTGGACTAAGATCTGGTGTTTCTTTTTTCTATATTTCTAAATTGGGAGTTGGGTGTGTGAAATTATTTATTCTAAGAGTCTCCTCGGAGTATTTACAGAGTCAAGAGCCAAGAATACATCACGGTGTACTGTAATAAATAACAGTCATATAAACAGAAGACCCAGAGACTTGTGGTCCCTCATGCCAGCAAGCAAGTGCAGACAGCTGGGGGTCGACTCTGCGCTCCCTGGGTTTTTGTGTTATCATATTTGTTACTGTAAAGCCTTATTCCAGACAGACGTTATGTAAGCCTACATATTATATCACACACCGTTTTAGGTTCAGACCTCTGGGGCAGATTAGGGTATTCAAGGTCCTGATTTGATGTTAATTGCTTGAAGGCATTAAAACCACTGCACACAATGCACAGTTAAGTCCAGCTATATTTCCATGTACTGTATTTGCATGCTGTATGCTTATCTGTGAGCTTTCATTACAAAGAATGAATAGGCTGGCTGTTTGTGTGTGTGCGTGTATGAAAACTGCCATCGTAAGTGTAATTTTTTTCATACTTATGAGGTTGAGGTAAATGCTGCTGTAGCTCTGTATATTTTAAATAAAAAAGACAAACTCACCATGTCAGTGAGTTGCTTCATTCTTGCCACAGGGTGGTGCTGTGGAGCTATGCACTTGCCCACCACCGCTCGACCCAGTTGAAACCAATAGCTGTTTGAGTCTTCTTAAATTCCCAACATTCAACTTTGAGGCCACTAATGTAGCACAGTTGTGTTGTTTCTGAGGGGATTGCCCGGTTTCTTTCAAACACACATGTTCATGCAGCATCCCACAAACAATGACTTATGAATTATTCAGAGGAATCTAAGATGTAATTGCTCTTTTATTTCTGTGGGTAAATTCCCAGTTTTCCCTCATCAGAGCTGTTTTGAGGAGATGATGGGAGCTCAAGGGAGTGCAAGGGGAAACTTTGCAGTCTCTCTGTGTACGTGTGTGTGCCTTGTTCTTTTATTTAGGGAGCATCACCATGGGACTTATTACTTGTGTGAGAACTGCTTCATCTAAGCCACCACGAGTTTCACAGTCACATTATTGTTGGTGTGACAGGCATGGCTGCGTTGAATAACTCAATTCTAAGCAAGGCCACAGAGTGAAGGAGGAGATGAGGGTCTGTATGCTGGTGTAAACACATCACAGTACACTGTACAGTATATACATTATAATGGTACTTTGCTTTACGAGACCAGCTGACATCTATGTCGAATCAAGGCACAAAAGCTACCCACGCTGTCCATGAGGCAAGCTGAATGAGAGAAAAAGAGTAATGTGTGGCTCATGCCAGGATTTGGCATCTATAAGTTGGCATTATAGGCTGCTGCCTGGCATCACGTCTCTGGCACAGTCCTCTACAAGCTGGACAAGTATGGCCACAGGGGATTCCGGCAGTCAAAGACATGCTGCATTATGGGTATTATTTGCTGCCTGGCCCATGGGTGCAAGGGGCTGGCTCTATTGTGTTCCAGGGATCAGAGTGAGCTTATGTGTCAGAGGGATAAGGCTCTGCTCCACTCCAAACACCCTGCCCCTGTTTCTCTCCTTCTTTTTTGTTCTTTCAGCCGTTTCTCAGATCAAAACGCTACTCGCTGCAACACACGGGTGAATAAATGGATGGATAAATGGACTAGCGGATGGAAATGTAGACAAGGAGACAAATGTATCGTAGTCCGTCGATCCATTTGGAACGAGGACTGTGCTGCTCCTGGGCTGCACAGTGCTGACAGAGAAAAAAAAAATCACAGGCCTATTGCCATTTCTTTCTGCTCAATATTGCAGTTGAGATATGGGCTGAAATACAACAGAACAGTTTTTCTTTCTCAGCTTTAGAAAGATGCTCAGAAAATGCCTGGGTGCTTAGTTTGAGTAAAATGAATGAATTTCCCTTCTGAAAATACATTGTTTACAGGCCACAGATTCTGCATAACGTCAAAATACCGTGCTTAGGAAACTGTCTGAAACATCTTTCTCACAGAGAAAAAAGTGCAGCCTTCTGCAATTTGAAATTGTGCCTGTAATGAATATTGTGATAAATTGTGCAGCTCTGGTCTGTGAACAACAAGCTGACAAAGTGAGGATTTCAAACAAGGGGAGACGATAGGTCCTGCAAAAATGTTAAATGATGCTTTAGGGGAACAAGACAGGGCTTGTTGAACCACTGGCCATGGCAGAGTACCGACTATAAAGGCATAAGAATAGGAATGCTGAATATCACATAGCTCTGTATGCTGATGATATTATTTTGCTTTGCTCCAATCTGAAGCGGACTCTACCCACTATATTTGACCTTACAGACTATTTCGGGATGTTTGCAGGTTACAAAATAAACTACTCCAAATTGACAGAATGGTACCAAGCATTATAACACACCTTGACAGATAAGGTTACACACCTTATTAATAGTTGGACAAATCTACCCATCTCCATGATTGGTCGCATACATGTTCTGAAGATGGCAATTTTACCAAAGTTTTTATATCTTTTTCAATCTATTCCTTTGGCTCCTCCACCTTCATTTTTTCACTTACTTAAAAAGCTTTTTACAAACTTTATATGGAACAACAAACGCCCCAGATTAAGGCTCTCATTATTATACTTACCATATGAAAGGGGAGGTTTACAGGTACCTAATCTTGAGTGGTATTACCAGGCTGCTCAAATTAGGGCAGGGATGTTTTATTTTCAGAAGAATCTTCCCCCTGCGTGGGTCTCCATAGAGTCACACTTAATTGACATACCTCTAAATCTGTACATAAATTCTGCAAACAAAACTAAACTAATTAAAAAGACCAAAACCCCCTTTCTAATAAACACTTAAAGGGTTTAGCATAACTCGCTGGCATACCTGGGAGAAAATACAACCTTATATCTGTTTACTCTGATTTATGGCAATGATGACTTCCAACCTGGTAGAGCAGACCCAGGGTTTAAAGCCTGGGCTTCCCAGGGAATAGCCAAATTAGCTGACCTTTACAATGAAAACTTGGTTTTTAATTAATTTGAGGAACTTAAAACTAGGTATGAGATTCCTGCAAAACATTTCTTTAAATATTTGCAACTTAGAAGCTTTATCTTGTCCAGACAAAGTAATAGTTTGAATAGCTTGAATAGCTTTAAAGGTGCGGGTAGATTTCATTAACCTTGGACAGAATCAGGCTAGCTGTTGTAGCTGTTTCCAGTCTTTATGCTACGCTAAGCTAAGCTAAGCTAACACGCTGCTGGCAGTGGCTTTATTTGGCACATGAGAGTGGTCAGTCAGTATTCTCATATAACTCAACATGCAATCAAAAAATTGTCAAACTATTTCTGTCCCTACTGAGAAACCGCAGAGACGCTATAGTCAAGTTTCAATCCAAATATTAAGAGAATTAGTGCACATTTCCTTCCACCACTGTTATGTGAATAATTAGGAGTTGCATCGAGATAAACAGCTGATCACTGCAGAGGAAGAGGGTACAGCAAATTGACATAATTAAAGTTAAACCTGAAACAAAGATGTGAAAAACATGATATAAATAGGCCTTTATGTATATTGAGTCACATGTTTCATTTACGCCATGATTAATTTATAATATAATAATTAATAATAGTATAAACAATTTAAATTTCATTTCCACTGAGGTTTTTGTTTTGTGCAAATTCAAAATGAAAACAGGTGGATGGAAACAGTGTTCTACAGTGTAGCATCTTTACACTGAATTGTGTCAGCTGCCTGTCTATCATCATTAATAAGAGACAATTTGCGAAAGGTGCCTCCAGTTCTTGTCTGTTACACCCGTAAACATGCTCAAGTGCCTGAGTCGATAATTCATCTAGACTAAAACCCGGGCCCGCTAAATCACAGTGCAGTCGACCTACATTTACACACCACTGGAAGGGGACTGGGACCCCAGGGAGACAGGATCACAAGGATGAGCCGCTGGTAATGCTGCTCCATTGTTCCATTAAGACGGGAACAGGCCAACAGAGTGAATGTTAAAAGAGATAAAGGGAGGGGAGATTTGTTCCACATGCTGGCTTCTTTGACTGTGACTCCAAGAGTCAGGGAAGGCTAAGTTGTGTCACTTATGAAGGTGCTTTAAAGTTCCTGTGACATCTGTATAAAGTTTGACCTGTTAGTGCCTTTTGGTTCTTTTAAAGGTCCAGTGTGAATTTAGGAGGATCTATTGGCAGAAACAGAATATAATATTCATAGGTATGTTTTCATTAGTGTTTAATCAGCTGAAAATAAGAATCGTTGAGTCTTATGCACCTTAGCATGAGCTGTTTTTGTCTACAGAGGCTACAAGTCGCCTTCTACAGTAGCCCCGAATGGACAAATCAAACACTGAATGTAAATAGGTCCTTTTGCCTTTTTCGTGTGTTTTGTGGCTACCGTAGTTTCTCCCTCATGGTTGAAAAAGGGGAATATTGTGATACACTGGTCCTTTATAGAAATAGTCTGAAATTTGGGGAATAACACTTATTCACTTATTTAAATAAAATAAGCTTATTAATTGCCCAGAGTTAGATGAGCAAATTAATACCACTTCCATTTGTCTGTTAAATGTAAGTGTAAAACCAATAAGCTAAGCTACGTTAAGCTAACTGTCTCCTTGCTGTAGCTTCATAAAAACATGAGAGTAGTATTGATTTTCTCATCTAATTCTCTGCAAGGAAGTGAAAAAGAAACACAATGTTGATATGTGTCTGCAGGGATTTATAGTGTGTATTTTATATTGTTTTTTTTATCTCTGTTACAATATTTTCTGTATTTTCAAAGCTCTCCCTAAAGATTGTTGTAGGATTCTATAGCAGATTCTCCCATCTTGTTCTCCGGTTACCTTCCTCATTTCTGGAGACTGCATCCAAAAACTGGTCCAGAAAAAAAATAAAGAATTGACTGCAGATGAGCAGGGAATACAGCCATCATAACATCACCTCATCCGTGTTAGATGTGTTCAGTCTTGTGTAATTCCAGAGGATAAACACTAGGCTGAGCTGATGCGCTTTCTTCCAGCTAAGACATGAAAACAGAGGAGTAAACACACCATCTGCCTGTCCCCCATCCGCCAGACTCTGTCTCTCTCTCCATAACCCGCTCAGTCACGGCTCCCTCATTAATATCCCAGCTTCTGATAAGGAATAAATATTCAAATATTCAGCGGTATCAGTTTCCTTGGACGCCTGATTTAAAATTCCCTGCCCTCAGGCACAGCAGGCACAGCATGCACAATCCATACAAACACACACAAACACACAACACACAAAAAAACACACACACACACACACAAATAGGGGCCTCTGATGTGTGTGTTGGTGGCGTTAGTGGGATTGTTCACCCCTCCCACATACACACTAAAGCTGCTGTTCTCCACTTTTGTTTATCCACCCATTTTTTTTTTGGGAGGGAGATGGATGGAGGATGAAGTGGGAGGAGGTGGGAAAAGAGAGGTGAAAGACTGAGGCTGGGAGCGGGGATAAAAATGAACTGATGGAATGAGATGTTAGGTAGAGTCAACGGGGAGATATGGAGAAAACTTTACTGGAACTCAGCAGACGCGGAAGCCGAGGATGAGTGCCCGA